ATGTCCTTCACATCCTTGTTGTAGTCCTTGTAAAAGGTCAGAGACTTCGCGGCAGGGATCATGGCTGGTGTAAGTTGTTGGAACTTGTTATAACGAAAAATACGTCTGTCAAGAGAAAGAAGCATAGTAAGAAACATCACCAGCACAGAAAACTGAGCTGCACCACCCGTACCATTCGATGAGGGGCACACACGTCAATAATAAACCTTAAATGGATAAAACCCCGTAATTATGTGTCCATACCGCATCAGGCTCCAAAGAAGAGAAAAAAAAGTACTAAGTTTCATAATGAGTCTAAAATCGTTACGTTTACAGCACGACCATAGTACCCTTGCCTATTTTTTTTTGTTTATCTAATAACCCAGGTCTTCATTCTTCGCAGAAACCGAAGCTGGGAAAACATCTTTGCGTTCTTGTTCTGATACCCTACGAGTGTGTCAACAGCACACCCGGCTTCAGGTTCTTGTCGAGTGTGACGGCCGCCGTCCAGTTGTCGGCGAGTTTCGCAATGTACGCCACAGCCCACTCCAGATCCTTGTTCACACGCACCTTGAGCGAGTTCTTCTTGAAGAGCACGCACGCCGCCTCCACACCGAGGGTGCCCGTCCAGCCCTTGCTGCGGCCGCACACAACCTCAGCACCCACAGTCACGGGGTGTGGGCACGTCGGCACGGGCGTCATGACGCTTGTGGTGTACGACTGCAGCTTGTCCGTGCGGATAGCGAAGACACGACCGGCCTCGGCGTAGCGGCAAGATGCTGTCCAGTCGCAACCGGACTTGCCGTCCAACTGGTACGCAGCACCGCATCCGACCTGGCAGTAGCGTGCCACAGAGAGGCCGAGGCCCACCTCCGCGTTGTTCTTCACCAGCTTCGCGTGAGAACTGAACCGGTTTTGCACCTTGCATTCGTGGCTCACCTCGTAATCGCCCTTCTTGTTAACCACGGCCTCGATCTTGTGGTCCTTGAGCTCGTACGTCGCCGTTCCCTTCAAGTCACAGCAGTCGGGAATAAAGGTGAGCTTCAACTTCGCACCGCACTGGCTCGGGACGAACTCCACGTCAGTGCTGAACTTGCCGTCAGATGTCGCCGTAGGGTTCACAAAGATGGTGTCCTTCGGTCCCTTGTACTTGCACTCCACCTTCCACTTCTGGGCATTGCTGTAGCTCTTCGTGAGCATGTCCTTCACATCCTTGTTGTAGTCCTTGTAAAAGGTCAGAGACTTCGCGGCAGGGATCATGGCTGGTGTAAGTTGTTGGAACTTGTTGTAACGAAAAATGCGTCTGTCAAGAGAAAGAAGAATAGGAGAGATCGTTGCATGATACAATTAAGGTAGGCTTCCAGGAGGATGACTATGAACAACGATATCTCTCATTGGAATGCAACTACTCGTTGCTGGCAAAGGTGGTGGTGGGAGTGTCGATAGTAATAACATACAGGGTGGCAATGCCGTGAGGGAGTGAGTGTAGCGTCGGCAGAGCGGCCTCCTGAGAATATCTGAAGCGACTGCTCTGAGAGGAGCCGAAGCGAAAGTTATAATGGAACTCATAGCAGCTCATATTGTTTTGTACAGCGGAGAGAACACTTCTTTGCTTTATTGGTCTTTGCTTTGGCGATCATTCACGCCTCTTGTACAGCTGTAATGATAGTGTTTGTCGTCCGCTAGAGGCTTCTCTGTCCCTGAGTGCCTGTAGGACCCAGTGGTGGTGGAGCACCCCCGCTCCCCAGCAATCATCGTCAGAGTGTGGGCCAGACAACCCACGGCACCGATGCGTATCCCAGCATCTTCTCAGCGACCCAGATGTGCGTGTAGAACTATGCTTCCGCCGCGAGCTGCAGGGGGCGATCGCCATACACCGCCTTTAGCCGATTCACCATCGTCTCATAGTGATGGGTAAGTTGCTGAAGTCGGTCGTAGAGGACGGTGCAGCGCATCGTAACCCATTTGCGCTCCTGCAGCAACAGCCGCATCGCCTCTTCGAGTGCCTCCGCGGTGTCATGGTGGACAGAGCGGGGAATGTCAAGACGTTGGCAAAAAGATAATGGCGCGGGAGGCGGGACAGAGTGTCGACGGTCATGCGAAGCCAATCGCACACGCCGCAACCGACGGGCCTCCTTTAGACACAGAATTGTGTCGTGAATCTCCTCTGCGTCGTAGCTGCCACGGGCATTATCAACTGGCATCGTCGCAGCAGAAGAGAATGGTGCCTGTAGTGGTTGCTCGTAGACAAGGGACGTGGTTGCAGAAGGTGCAGTGAAGGTCGCTCCCGGTGCAGCGTGCGAGACTTCAACACGACGCTCCCCTCCGCCACTGCTTCCGCTCCTGTCAGTCACGCAATGCGGAGCCTCTGCCTCCTCCAGCTCTCGTTGCGTCTGCGGAGGTGGTATTATGTGGTTCACCCCACCTTCTTGTCGCCGCAGCGGCTCATGCTGCACATGTTGCGCCAACTCGCGCTGGTACCCCTCGCGAAAGCGCCACCACTGAGCACTAAATGCGTCTGGTGGCGGTACCTCCAGCATGCCGCTCCCACCTCTTGCTGTGCTCGATCTGCCGCCTGTGTTTGCCAGCGCTGTCGGTGCCACCTTCGCATCGGCTGCAGGGAGCAATGCTTCTTCTTCTGCTGCTGCTCTTGTTGTAGATAGTGGTGGTTGCGCCGATGACTCAAAACGGCGGTTCCACGGTGCACCAGCCGGAGTAGAGCGGTCCCTCTCCGAGAATGCGGATTGCCGCAACAGCGTTTCCACCTCCAAGAGTAATCTCGATGCGTCCATCGCCGACGCCGCCTCGCTGTTTCTTCCCAGCTGCCGGTCGTCGTTGTGTCGCCCTCCAGCTGCTCTGGCTATTGCTGTTGCCGCCAGTTTGTCTGGAGAGGCAGGCGATGCGTCATTGCGCACGCCGCCCAGTGCGAGAGTGTGCACAATATCTCGCACAGCACTGTTGCCCCCAGGCATCATTGGTGCCGATGTCCGTAACGGCCGCCGGGCCGTGCTCCTCTGTTGAATGCAGTGGCCTCCTCCCTCCTTGCTGTGGCGACGGCAACACCGGTCACACACACACACAGGGATAGAGAAAGAGAGAGAAAAAACAAAAGCAAAAAAAAAAAAACAGCAACAACACGCAATGCTTTGTTCTACACACAGGTAACGCTACACAACATCATGAAGTCGGGGAAATCATGTGGGACAGAGAGACGTGCAAACCGCATGTCAGACACACACATACACACACACACAGACGCACATCAGCCGCCCTCCCAAAGAACAATAACAAAAGGCAGCACTACAATGCAGCACCCCTCTTCTACACAGGCCTCAGAAAGAAGAGGCATCGGTGTGCGGCACCAAGCCACACACTCCCCCCTGCAGGGCTGCACCATGCGAAGTTGGGGCTGCGTCGTTCTCTCACGTCGCAGGCGTATTACTCCAGGCACAGACACAGACACACATCTGCACGCGTCGTCACTGCAGCATCAACTCCGCGGCGCTTCTCAGCGGCCGCACGCCAAACGCAAAGGCAGCGATGGTGCGCAAGACGCTTCGCTCCAATCCACGCAGTGACCACCGCAACAGGTGTGTGTACTGCTGCTGCTGCTGCTGCTGCTCCTCGTCCGCTTCAGGCGAAGTGAGCGCAGCTTGCACGCGCGTCCGCTGCAAGGCGCACCATGAACGGCACGCGCGGCGAATGACGAGCAGCACGACAAACAAAGCACGGCGCTCCGCCGCTGATGTCTGTCGACAGATAAGGACGTCCAGCCGGGTGGAGTTAACGTCCGGCAGCGCCGCCTCCACGTACGTTTCAAGACAGCGCCAGCACTCAATGCTCGTACAGCACGCAAAACACGTAGGGTTCACGTTGTATTCATCCCGTTCCAGCTCACCGCTGACGAACGCACGTTGCGAGCCATGCGCTCCACACAGCGCGCAAACCAACGGCGCGAAGTCGCTCCTGTTGGCCTCCGCGTATTGCATAACACGCAGGGCGAAGTTCAGCTTGCGCCAATGTGAAAAGGACAGCGTGGCAGGATGCAGCAGGAAATAAGGCGCGCAGGCGACAGAAGCACTGGCGCCAGTAATAGTAATATTGTCAGTCGCAGCAGCAGCAACAGCAGAAACAGAAGCGCTAGGCGCGTCGTCTTGCGCCACCGCAGCTGCAGGCGTGCAGATGCCACGCAAGGCATCACGTTTCGCTCCATGAGACGCTGCTTGCGTGAGAGCGGCAATAGCTGACATCACTCGAACAAGCGCACTGGCTTGTTGCACCACCAACTCCAACGGTGGTGGGCCCACCCACTCCCTCACTGGTTGAACATATCGGTCCTGCTGTTGTTGTGAAGCTGTGAGAGTGAACAGCAGGCGCTGGAGAAACGGCATGGATTCAGCAGCCCCCGACCCCGCCATCTCCCTGCTTTCCTTCCGCAGTAGCGCAAATACAGAAGCAGGGCCATCAATGGTGTGATTAGGGGGCAGAACAGGCAGAGGAGCGAGATGGAAGGTGGCAGGCACCGCGGCATCGGGAAGCAGCGACTCCAACGCTTGGTGTCCAAGGAGCTGCAGTGCCGCTCCGCAACGCGATGCTGCACCATCAGCAGCAGCAGCAGCAGGAGCAGCAACAGCATCTCGCTCGCGGTGGCGCAGCAGCTCCTGCTGCAATAAGCCAAGCACGCACGCCATGTACGTCACACTGTCACAGATGTGGCGGCAGTGATAATACACGTACGGCTCAACCACCGCCAGACGCGCCTTCTCTGCACGCTCCGCGTCGCTCTCACCACTCGAAAACGGCCAGGATGACGCCAGCAAGTCACTGAGGAATGGTGGGAACTGGAACAAGGACCCCGACGATGTTGGCAACAACGTGTCCGCTGAAACAGACCCTTCGCGTTGCGGTTGCTGCTGTTTCTGCTGCTGGCGTCGCAGCTGCTCGCAGAGTAAGGATCGCTGATACACTGCAGCGTCGGCAGCGCGGAACAAACTCGATACCACACCAAACAGAACTTCTTGCACCCGCTCCAGCAATGCACCACTGCGGCGTACACTACTGGAATGCCTCTTCCACGTTCGCAGCAGCCCATATGCCACATTTGCCACGTAAGCAACTTGAAACAACGGCGGTGGCGCAGGAGCTGGCGCATGATCACGATGTGTGACTCCTATCACAGCATGTGCATGCAGCATCGATGCATCAGCGCTGCCGCTGCTGGCCTCTGAAGATGAGGAGGGATTACACTCCCGATGTGTCTTTCCTGTGCTGGTGCTGCAGCAGCAGCCACTCTTTGGTAATGTCACTGTGTTCGGGTGCCGCGGCGGTGTTGGCGCCCACGCGGCCCACGGTGCCCAAAGGACGAGGTGCTCCATGACACGCAGCGCCGCCTCGCCGCGGTGCAGAATCCACCGGTGTGTCTCATTGTCCCCGACGTCATTCTCTGCAGGGGTGACAAGCGATACGCGGTGCAGCACCACCCGCTGCACGTCTGTTGCGACTGCCATGACCTCCATCGCGACGGTCAATGTCTCGGAGAAGGCTGTTAATGCACAGGATGGCATCAACGGGTGTGCTGTCCCGTCCATTCTGCTGGTCCCGCTGCTGTTGCTGTTGGTGTTGGATTGGCAAGCCTCCCCTTCCCTGCCCGCCATCGCCAAATGGAGAAGGGAATTGGACTTCACAAAGTTGTGAACGCTAAGCACAGCCGGCAGCATGGCTTCCAGAGGAGCGCAGAGGGCGATGGATTGCAGCACGCGCCCGCAGGACGGGAGGAGGACGAGCAGGAACACGTCGTACAGCCATCCCTGCACCGAGGTGAAAGCATCTACAGCAGCAGTACCTGATGGACAGCACTCCATGTCCGCCAAAGACGCACTCGGATCACCAGCACCTCCCATGGTGTTGCGGTTCTCCGTGAAGCGAATATTACCATCATCGGCCTCATCACCGTCGCTAAAAAATGCCTCGCGCTCATCCAGCCAGTTCTGATACCACAAGAGCGTGTCAGTGGTGGCACTCACCACAAACACGAGCATCGCCCCCAAGTAGAAGCGTCGTCCCACATCGACCATCACAGGGAATGGGGTCAGCAGCAATGCGGAAGAAGCAGCAGCAACGGGCGCGATGTCGTCCCGTCCGTTCGCATCGATCCAGCACACCATCTGAAGCACCTCACCGAGCTCCTGTAGCACAGCACGGAATGGCGCCGTATCGTTGACCACGCTCCATGTCGCCGCAAAACGAAACAGGTCGCGAAAGACGAAAAGGCACTCAAGAAGTGTCCTCGTATGCCAGCAGAGTGCGCGCCACAAACGCTTTTGCAGTTGCTGCTGCCATTCAGAGTGCACTGCAGCCTCCTTCAACGTCAAGCGCTCTGAGCCCCCGCACCGCGTCGCCGATTCTGCTCGAGTAAGCGTCATAAATAGTGTAATGTGGCGGAGGCACCTCTCCCACAGCTGAATCTGCTTCTGGAGAACCGCTGCAAGCCAGCGAATGTGCTCATTGTTCGACACCACGCATCCACGCTGGTAACCAAGCCGTAGAAACTTGCACGCGGTCATACAAAGCGTTCCAGTCGCAACGGTGCGCGCCTCATTCCCATCATCGCTCGCCCCCTCAACCTTCACATGACCACCGCCAGTCTTCTCTGTTGTGTGTCCACTGGAAACAGCGCTGCTTCCGCCGACACACGAGAAGGCCACCTCTTCCGATTCAGGGTCTCCCTTCACAACAGCATGTGAGAGGGCGAGCTGCGTGAGCTGCGCCGTAAACGGCAGAATGGACGCTGGCAGTCGCACCCCGGCGATGCAACAGCATGTCAAAAGCAAATTGATGTAGCAAAAGTCCTGCTGAGCGTAAAGCCAGGAACAGTCCCGCTGCTCCGGCTCGGATGGGGGAAGCAGGACACCTCCAGACGCACAGCAAACGACCTCTAAAACGTCCTGCACCGCTCTTGCAATCCAAAGGTAGTTATTACCCTCATTGTCACCGCAGCTCTCTTGTCTTTGCGGTGTTGTTGTTTCTGACGATGTTCCTGTCACACTCCCATCATCACTGAAGAGCCCTTTCCACTCCTCCCCTGCTGTGAGGAGGATCTTGGCGCTGGTGTTCATCCTCGCAGAGGTGCTACAACCGCCACAATAACGTGTGCGCCGCAGAAACTCTACATACGAGCCGCTCCCTTCGTTCTTTACGTCTGGCTGCCCCTTCTGCTGCTGAGGATCGTGGCACCCGTCAAACGGTTGGGTTTCATCCCAACCGTTGTGCAGGAGGGCAAGCCGTCCCAACTCCGCGAGCGCAATGCACACAGCGATTTCCTGCACGTGCTCCCACCGAAGCGGCACGTCCAAGTCCCCCTGCGTACTCATCATTTCGCTAGCGTCACCCGTTCGCTCAGCAGCATCGTTGTTGCCCCTGCTATTTGGGGAACTGGAGGTGGCCGACAGGCCTACGCCAGCCTTGAGTGTATTTGTTTGGTTGAACACCAGCTCCATGACTTTCGCACGGAGTGTGCGCCCTCTCGACGACTCCTGCTCGTTCCTACCGCTGCTGTTGCTGTTACTGGTGGTGGTGGTGGTGGTAGTGCTGCCACCTACTCTGCCCCTGTTCGAGCTGAATACTGTGAGGGCATCGCACAACGAAGTCGGCAGCGGCACACAACGTGTATATAAAGAGAAACCCAATCTCTTTTCTGCCCCCTCCTCCCTAAAGGCGCGCCACAACGGGAAGTACAACTGCCCAAGGCGTGAGAGTAACGCCGCAAAGGCTCCACGGCGTAGAAACGCCAGGTGCGCCCTCTGTTCATTCTTCTCTGCTGCATTCATCTCTCTTCCCCTCGCGTGCGTCGCCGCTGGTGCACAGTCCCGATCGACGACAGCGCGCTGGCGGCGCAGCAGCTCCATTACGCAGCTGCAAAGCAGCAAGCTGACAAAGCGACCGACAGCAGGAACAGTACCGTGAAAAGTGAGCAGGCAGGACAGCACCTGCAGAAGCTCGTCGTTCCAGCACATCGGAGATGCGGACGGCGGCGCAGTGGACCTCCCAGGCTCTGAGGTCGTCGTTGTGAGTTTCATGAGCTCCATAAGGAGGTAAAACTCCTTCCCTGAGAGCAAGGAGAAATCCACATTCATCGCAGAGCCTCTCGCTACCGGTGCGCCCAACAGTGCGACAGGCAGCCAGCCGCTAGGACAGATGGAGCTGCTACTGCTGGTGTTCGTATCCCCTTCTCGTTGCCCTTGGTGTTGCTTGTGCCGAATACAGCTTGGAAATGACGCCATCTCTGTTGTCAGGTGAGTCCTCGCGCTGGCCACACTGCCACTCTTACTCTCACCTTCAGCTTGCGTCACCGTTGCGGATGGATCCTTGAGCCCTGCAAGTGCGTGGCGCAAAAGACGTTCCTCCCACGCACGCACGTCGCCGGTGCCGAGGGCGAAGAGAACCTCGGTGCGCTCGAGAGGTACTCGAGGCATATTGTCATCACCCAACAGCACCGGAGGAAGGGACGCAGCTACAGCAGCAGCAGCAGCAGCACAGTGTGAAGAAGAGCTCTGCTGTGGTATGCCGGTTCGGGCGCCGCCAGTCTCGTCGACATCACTAGATCCAGCCGCAGTAGGCATCACTGCCTGTGCTGCTGCTGAGGGTAACAAATGCGGCCGCGTCACGCGATGCATCACCGTGGTTGGTGCCGTGTGTGTGGCGCCTGTGTCTCCTCACGAAGGATGCGCCCGCTTTCCGTGCAGCCACACCGCCGGCGGGAGAAGACGGAGAAGCACAAAAAAACGAAAAAAAAAACAAAGCGAGAAGTGGAGAGAAAGTGGCGGGCAGAGGCTTCGCGAGAGAAGCACATACACGCTGCACAGAGCAAACACGCCACACAAGGAAGCGCTCAGGTTTCTAAGCTCTCTCTCACACAGACACACACATACACAGACACACAGACCGCCCCGCTACAAACACGTACAATCACACACGAGCACACGACCCGTAAAAGAACAAAAACGAAACGAGAGTTCACACAAACGACAGGGCAGCTGTGGCTGCAGCCAGCATTTCGTCCAGCATTCATTGTCGAACACCAGAGCGAGCATCCACCTTGGTCCCAGTTCTATACATCCATCTCTTTGCACCCCTCCACTCTCTCTCTCTCTCTCTCCCCCCGCACCTCTTCCTCTAACAAGACCGCTCGTGTGGATGCAGGTATGCAAACAAGAAAGAAACAAAGAAGAACAGGCGTCGGCGTAACACAACTACTGCATATAAGAATTCTTAACCTTCTCTCCACCTCCAGAGCACTTTTCGAAGTTATTGGATTTATTCACTCATTCACGTAGCGCTTCACATCGCTCGGACCGTCTTTTATCAAGATCATCATCGACAGAGGTGAATTGCATCGTCGACATTCTCTTCTTCAATCACCTCCCACCTCTCCTGCAGCACCTGCTGCAGCAGGAGTAATCCGTACGGCACTGTCTCAGCATTATTACTCCCCACGTGGTCATCAACTTCACAGAAAGACGTTTCTGCCACGGTCGACCCGTGTGATGTTACAACACCGTTTATCAGCCTACTGTTATTGCCGCCACTGACATTATGGGAGCCGCCTCGGGTTCTTTCACAGTTACTGCGGTTGCAGGACGCCTTGAGATAGTAGTGGTAGTGCTGGTGAGGCTGGCCCGCCTCCGTCATGTTTTCCTGCGGTAACGTAGCATGTTCTTGCATGGTCGTTGTTAATGCCGGAGCATTCATTGTGGTTATGTTATCAACACCTTTCCACGGAGGTGCTCTTGTCACTTGCGCCAACTCTGCCGGCTCCACTTCTTCTGCTGCCACTCCTGTTGTTGCTACCGCCACGTCCCGTTCCCCCCAATCATCCTGTCGCGTCTCCTTGAAGACTGGCGATGGCAGCTGGGCCAATGGCAGCGGCGGCACTATGACGGATGCGGCCTCGTCGGTCCAGCGCAGCGACGGTGACAGATCCTCATGTGGCAGGAACGGCGAGACGTTCACAGTTACCGCAGACACCGCGGAGGGGTCAGACTGCTGCTGACGCACCGCTGCTGTCGGCGATGGCGGGTACGTTGCCTGGAGTAGTCGCACTGCGCTATGCGAGACACTGATGCAGCCACTTCCGCCACCAAGCGCCGCTGATGCCAGTGTGTCTTCATCTTCATGCGTGGGGACGTCCTCATCGGAGCCACCACTGCTTACGCCGACGAGAAGTCCCCAGGTGGCGGCNCCCTCTTCCAGACGGCTAAAGTCGGTGCTGGCACACAGTGGGCCGCCCATATCGTTGCTGGTGCTGCTGCGCACGGCAGCGGAGAGGCGCGCGCTCGTGTTACCATCAGCGTCACTCAGGAGTAAAGGCACGCTCAGAGACTCCCTGCCAGATGTCGTCGGCAGCGCCACAGTGACGTTTTCGGGAGCAGCACAACAGGCTGCCTCGCTTATTGGCGGTACCACAGTGCATTGCACCTTCGTGGCGAGTGCAAGAGTCATGCCGTTATTGGGATGCGTCCCACCGAGAATCGTGAGGGCGGCTGCATCTTCCGTCACGTCACCTCGTGTCCTTGTATCATCCATTCCTTGACAGTCGTGCAAATGGAAAACCGGCGTATGAGGGTACACTGTTACTGATGTGGTAGCCTCCACACGGTGATCAGCGCCCTCCATGATAGTTCTATAAATTGAACCGCTGGGGACGTTGTCTCTAACGCCCACGAGCGCCAATTCCACAATAACTTCTTTGCCGGACGCAGCTGCAGAGCTAAGACTGTGATCTACATCCGGTATCGCCTGTGGAAACACGGAGGCTACATCCATCGCTGCTGCCTCTGCTTCTGCTACTGCTTCCCCTAATAAACACATCGCTGGTGGTGTGTCTGAATTTGGTACTTGTGTCCGCCCTGTGGCACATGACGGAAATGAAGTTTCGCTTCTCCGCATTTCGTTCACGACCACCCCGTCCTCCGGTGGTTGCTGCTCAGCCTGCAGGTCATACCCCACATTGGCATTGTTGTGGTCCGTCTCATCCTTTGTTGTCGGTGTCATGCCGGCTATGGACGATGGTGGTGCCAATAGGCCGTTGTTCTCCTCTTCCGTTGACATGGTGAAGAGCGGCGGCGGCCGGAGGACTCTCCTCCTCACGTGCGGCTGTGAGAGGAACGCAGCAGCGTTGCAGTTGAGCGGCACTTCTGGCGGTGACACCGGGGTTGTGGGTGTGCCCAACGACCCTGGTGCCGTTGTAGTCGTTGATATGGCGCGCATCGGAAGAACACCCATAGCACTGTTGTCATCCTCTTCATTGTCCGCGTCGTGGCCTTCATCCGTCATGGTCGCCTCCCGCACGACTGCACGACCACAGGTCATTGTATCCGAAGAAGCTGCAGCAGTATAAGCCTGGCCTGTCACTTCCGCCTCCACAGGGAATTCGCTTCTTGTGCCCTCATCGCTGCTGCTACTTCGGTGATGCACCTGATGCTTTTGCTCTTGTTGATAATGCGAGCCCGTATTCTTATTCCATTGTTGTTTCGGCTGCTGATTCTGCTTCTGCAGTTGATGGGACCGAGGAGAAATGCCGCTTGCATCATCATCGCTGCTAGCCATGGCTGCAGAAGCGGTGGAGATGCGGGATGTGTCACCACCCCCAAGCAACGGCTGTTGCTCGAATGCGAGAGAACGAATGCGACGGCGGACGGCACGTTCCAAGTCAATCTTCTGCAGTTCTGCGACGGTCACAACTGCTGCAAGAATGATTTGTAAATAATCTGCATTCGCAGAGTCACTGGCTGTTCTAGAGTTGCTGCCGACCTGATTGGCAGCCTCCCCACATTTGCTGTTGTTCTTGCTGCTGGGACTATTAGTTATGGCCGCCGCCACAGCAGTAGGGTTAGCCGAGAGGCTTGCGAGACAGTCAGCGGCCTGCACGGCACGTTGAATAGCTACGAGGGACTCTTGGGGGGCATTATTGCTGCTGCCGTAGCAGCAACCCTCCTCATCGCTTGTCAGCAGGCCAGTAAGCGACAACAGCGACGGCAGCGGTGATGTCTGTGAAGCATGGGAGCTCTCGCCGCTTGGCTGTTGTTGCTGCTGCTGCTGAGTGTAGGTATGAAGAGACATGACGCCCTAACTAGTTCACAAAAACAAATTATATATATATATATATATATATATATAAATTGCGCACGTATGTGTTGGTGCGAGCACCTGCCGCAGCGAAGTCACATGCCAAAGCCGGCGCGAGACAGAGGAGAGAAAGAGAGCAGTCAACCCGACAGAGCGCAGAGCGACACACAGCGGCGACGTGGGCCCACCACAGCAGGCGGACAGCTATGCAACCAAATCAAACACACACACACACACA